CTGGTTTAGTAGTGTTTGCGTTCATTGAGGAACCTCACTGGGAGTCTGATCATCAAATCCAGCAAGGAATGTTCTGCCTCCAGCTTCGGTACAGCTATACAATTCAAACATCTTTCTGAAATATGGTGCTCTACAAGGGTTCTGATGTATGGATTTCAATGCTCATTTTATTAGGGAATGCCTTTGACCGTTCCATTTTCTCTATAGCAAGGTAGTATTTACAAGTTTATTTACACAGTACTCTGTGCTTGTGTGGCTATTTTGCTGCTTTAGCATAGTGTAGGTTCACATGGAGGAAAAGCATTGAACAAGTCTGTTACAATGCTTAATAGAGAGAAACGTGATAGGGTTTTGGGGGGTTTTTTAGCACTTTCCCTATTGTCACCTTTGCTTTTTCCCTACTTGTCAAAACCATTGATATAAGGGAATGCTTTAGTATAAACACATTCAGGAAATGCAGAGAATGGTTTAATTACCAGCCTCTGAAAGGATTCATACTACCATGGTGCATTAAATGCATCTCTTAACGTTTTCGTCTGTCTTTTACTCCAGGTACCTGGGTTGCTTACTAGTTTAGTTTAAAAGGCAGCATGAATGGAGCTACAGGAAGCTTTCTAAGCACTTGTGTGAACTCTAGGGACTGTTCTGAAAATAGAATCACAGAATCATAGAATAAACCAGGTTGGAAAAGACCTTTAAGATCATCAGGTCCAGCCTTTACCCCAGGACTGCCGAGGCCACCACTAAACCATGTCACAAAGGGCCTTGTTTGCATGGTTTGTGAACACTTCCAGGGACACTGGAAGCAAAAGCATATTAAGAATGTTTAATGTTAGAGGAGTAAAACACAAGCCAAATAGGTAAGAAAATAGGTAGCAGTACTATACTAAACAGGCAGTATTTTTGTTGGGAAAACGGTAAAGCAGTAGAAGTTCCAATGTTTGGGGGTTTGAGCTGCTGCTTGTTACTCATTTGAGGGATGGAATTGGGATTTCTGGTTCTGAAGAAAATCATCTGGTGATTTTATTCCCAAGGGAGCACATCCAGTGCTACAGTCAGCTGTGATTTTAGAGCTTGCTTGCTCCTCAGTAACTGCCTCAGTCATGCTTTGTCCCAAGAGCAGCCAAAGCATGACCTGTCAGGCTGGAATGAGGCTGTGAGCTAACCTGTTCTTTTGCACCTCTTGCTACAAGACATTGGGAAGGACTAAATTGGTGAATTTAAACCTTTTTGGGATGCATCTGGTCTTATTTTATATACCTGAAATTGGGCATTTTCCTGTATAACATGATTGAGTCTTAGTACATAGAGAGGGATGATGCGATTTGCAGGTTATTTGTTCCATCCAAGGGCATTTGGTTTTATCAAAGGTGCCTGGTCTGTTCTACACTGAAGTTACAATCCCAGAGAGCCTCAAACACTTCCTGTTAAAACTGAAAGAGAAATCTGAAGTAGTGTAGGATCCTAGAATGGCATGGAAGATAGACTCTTCAATCTATGTCATTTACAAAAGCATTATGATAGTGACATGATCGGAGGTGATGCTTTTAAATTGGAAGTCTCCATTGGCATGCTGAGTTGGATTCTCTTGCGATGTCTGGCTGTTAAGTTTCTGCCATTGTCTTTTTGGCTAGGTCTTCCAAAACTTTACCCTGGGCTTTTTGGATGGCACCTTCTGTTTCTGCTTCGCGTTGGGTCGGTACTGTCCTTTCTCTGGAATGCAAAATGCTTTCTGTATAAACCACATTTACGGCTTCAGAGTTTGAGCAGCTTCTGCTTAAACCTTCAAGCCCTGATGCTAAGTTCATTCAATGGTGAATTTCTTGAAAGGCTTCCTGAGTCCAAAGGCCTGCACTACATCTGATCTTCGACTCGCCCAATGGAAGACAGTAGTACTAAAGAGAGCTCTTGCTCAATCTCCTCTTTAATGGACTATGTTACTCTTGCCAGCAGTAATCTGAACCAGTTATTACTAATAAAAGCAACAGAGACATTTTCCTGAAACCTTCAGCCAGCTGGATTATGCCTTACTTTAAGCCATTGTATAAGTATGTATATTAAACTAAGAAACCAATCTTGTGTTTAAATAATGAACTTGACAAAGAGCAAGAAAACAAGTTTGGAGACTGACTCAAAGATGTGGGTTTCTTGTCTTGATTGTCTTTCAGTCATAATGTAACTTGGAATAGCTTTTTATATACCTAAAAGCCAGTAGCTTTCTAATGATGAAATATTAAGTTTTATCATCGACTTGAACGTGTGTTTTAACATTTGTTCTCATATGTTGTGGGTTGGGTTAGGAAACACTTCCAGGTGTTTAGAACTGAATTAAAGTAGAAGAATGGATGACATTTAACTTGTAGGCATTTAACAGCTGCTTTATTCCCATTGCATTCTAGGTAGGTCTGCTTGGAGCACTGTGCTTCACCTCATGGTTCTGGGAGTTTCACATGGATTTTTAAGTATGATTTTAGTTAGTCAGTGAGGAAAAACTCCAAGAGCTCCTCAATGCAGTATCTCCAGTTAAAGTCTAAACTAGCACTGAGTTACATGCTGTGACTGTTGCAGTACTGCACAAATCAGATGACCCTGGGCACCAGTGTGGCTGTGACTGTTTGGACCCCGATCCTGGGCAGTTCAGTCACTTCCATCAAAAACCAAGGCCGTGCATTTTGTCTTTCAAAAGCCTTCCTGATCCGCTTAATATAAAACTTACTGTTCTGTAGGAAACCATGAAGGTACGTTCAGTGTAACTGATTTTATTTGATGATTGTAACATAGGATCACTGCCTGGTTTGGGCTCCTCCAGCTCCGACCCCTTCCACTGGAGCAGCTTGCTCCAAGCCCCTGTGTCCAACCTGGCCTTGAGCACTGCCAGGGATGGGGCAGCCACAGCTTCTCTGGGCACCCTGTGCCAGCGCCTCAGCACCCTCACAGGGAAGAGCTTCTGCCTAAGAGCTCAGCTCAGTCTCCCCTCGGGCAGGTTCAAGCCATTCCCCTTGGCCTGTCCCTACAGGCCCTTGTCCCAAGCCCCTCTCCAGGTTTCCTGCAGCCCCTTTAGGCACTGGAGCTGCTCTCAGGTCTCCCCTTCAGGAGCCTTCTCTTCTCCAGGCTGCCCCAGCCCAGCTCTCTCAGCCTGGCTCCAGAGCAGAGCTGCTCCAGCCCTCACAGCATCTGACGTGCATCCCCCAACAAACTTGAGGCAAAGGCTGAAAGTAATGATGACAATGCTCAAAGGAAAGTCAGCGCAGTTCTTGGTTACATCTCTCACATGCTGATCCTTTAGCAAACTTCCTTAATTCCATAAGAAGGATTCTATTGCTAAAAACTTGGATGTATTCAGGGGAAGCACCTCTCTGAGTCAAAAACCTCAAAGAAACAAAACCCCATTAACCACACACAGACACCCACACCCCGACATCTCTTTGCATCACAGCATCCAAGCAATACAACCAGAACCCAGGTACGTTTCCACCCTTGGCTTTGTGCCTGTGGGTTTTGCTGTGTCCTGCCTTTCACTTTGAGGTAGAGCAGTGAGATGGGAAGACAGAAATGGAGGAGTTTTTCGTGTGAGCTGGCTTTCAAGCCAAGAAAGACTCGCAGCAGGACAGCCTTTCTGTGGGGGCTGTGGCTGTGGAATCAAGAGACAGCGCCTGCCATTCACACAGAGGGTTCCAAACCAGAAAAACTGGTTTTGTGTTAAATAAAAGGTAGTAAATGGGAAGATACAGCCTGGCCACAAAGCTCATCCTAAAATACTCCAAACCTCAGCCTATCCAGGTTGAAGCAGCAGCTAGCATTCCAGCTTTAAACATAGACCTGTATGCTAGGACAGAATTAGCCTGATGAACAAGCTGTGTGACTTTGACTGTATCGAGTGCATAGATATAGATAGAGCATTTGTTTAAAAACCAAACACAGATAAAGCCTAAGTTACTGGGTTTGGCACAGAGCAATGCTCCAGTGGGGAACTGAACTGCTCAGACAGGACCGTGGCATCATTTGGGTCGGGCAAGACCCTGAACTGCTCTGATGAACTTGGCCCATGGTTGTACCACACATGCACGATGCATCACTAGGGATTATCTTAGTGACTCTGAAAGCATCTCCCGTCTGATGTGCTCACTGAAGATGTGTCCTGCGCGACCACTTCTGCAGCTGCAGCAGCACTTTGTGTCCACAGCATCTCAGCCCTGTACAAATTCCTCAGCCTTGCAGCAGGAAGCCCCTTGAGGAGTCTGTGGAAGGAGGATGCCGTCCATCCCGATGGCTCCATTAAGCACGGGAATTGCAGAGGTGATGCCTGAAGCTTGCCTGCAGGGCACACTGAAATTCCTGCACCAATTCCTTGCATCCTTTCTTGGGAAGCTCTTCAGTCAGCTCCTGCTTTCAAGTCATTGTCTTAAATCAGCTCATGGTCTCACCTGGGCAGGTGATGAAGTGGAGAGCTCCTGGACCAGCCTGATCCACACATGTACCTTCTGGTGCATACCTACACTTCCCTGCTTGTTCTATGGAATTTCGGGGATGACATTGCTTTAGTGCAGTGTTTGTTGGGTCTGGATGCTGTAATGGTGTGGAGAGCAAACCTGCAATGATGCGGAGAGCAAACTGGCCCCAGCTGCCCGTTGATTTTGGTTGCCAGTGATTAAAGCCAGCTTGGATGGGGCTTGGAGTGAGCTGCTCTTGTGGAAGGTGTTGGGAGCTGGATGAGCTCTAAGGTCCCTTCCAACCCAACCTGATCAATAGAGCGTGGGCTGGGAGTGCTGTCGATGTGAGCGAGGCAGTGGGGGGGGGGGTTTTGACGTGCCCCCCTTCACCGGTTTTACCCCGTTGGGGCTGGCCCTGGGGCCGGGTAAGTTCAGTGCTGCTGATGGGAGGGAGCCACCGGCAGCGGTTTTGCCGCCCGGGTGAATGGGAGCTGCGGACCCCGCTGCAGGCTGGGGAGGAGCAGGAGCGGGGGCATCCCGAACGCCAGCGAGGCAAGAGGCGAGCTCAGGGCTCCTGCTGTGCCTTTAAGCTCCGTATGCAAAATCCCCGTGTGCCTCCCACCCTCGCCTCTGGTCACCGGGGGAGGGAGCCGGGAGGCGCCGCTCCGGGGGAGAAGGTTTCCAAGGGAAAAGCACCTTGGTGGCAGCGGGAAGAGCGAAGCGGGTGAGTTCCTGCGCCCTCCTCACAGCCCCTGCGGGTTCCTTCGGGCCGCCGGGCTCTGGGCAAGGGTGGGAAGAGAAAACTTGAAACCTGCCCCTACCCCGGCCGTTGCCCCCATCCCGGCCATTGCCCCCATCCCGGGGTGCTTCTCACCCCCTGGTCCAGCGCGGGTTGCGGGCAGCGCAGGCAGAGCCGCATCCCTCCTGTCCCGTCCCGTCCCGTCCCCATCCCTGCTCCCGCACTTGGACATTTCCAGACCTGTGCCAGTTTGGAATTGCTCCTCCCCACTTGAATATCAACCCCCCCCCCCCCCCCCCGCCCCATCCTGCTTGGGGAAATTCCTCTTGCTTTGTGGGCTCGAAGGCAGCGGCTTCTTTCTGAATTTATTGCTAATAGGGTTTAATAGGTTTAATCTCATCAAACCTTTTATTTAAGCTCAGGGACGCAAATAACTTCGGTGCTTCCTTCTTTAGTCACTCATGGCTAAACCAGAGAATCAGAATCACAGACTGGTTTGGGCTGGAAGGGACCTAAAAGATTAGGGAACCCATAAAATAGTTTGGGTTGGAAGGAAGGGACCTTCAAAGGTCAACTTCAACCAGATGAGGTTCCTCAGAACCACATCCAGCCTGGCCTTGAGCGTCTCCAGGATGGGACAGTCTGGTTTCAAGGAAGGCAGGGACACCTTCCACTAGAGCAGCTTGCTCCAAGCCCCATCCAACCTGGCCTTGAGCAATGCCATCCATGTCTTCCAGCCATGAGGCTGCCCTATGGAGCTCAGGCATATTGCCCTGTGTCCTGCTGGAAGGAGGTCCCTGTGGGTGGAGGGAACAAGCAGGGTTGGAGCATTGTGTGCGCAGCGTCCTGCAGCCTGTGCCTGGGGATGCAGGCACAGCAGCTCCCTTCAGCAGGCAATGCTACCCCACATAGGTACCTGCAGGGTTTCCTTCTGCCTTTCCCTCTGAAATCAGTGTCTCAGGTGCTGGGAGTCCCCTGCGTGGCTGAGGTCTTTTATCACTGCCTGGTTTCTCCCTCCTTTGAGGGAGCAGGCGTTGCAGGCGGCTGCTTTCAGGGCAGCATGGGGGGGTTTGTGCCCATGCACATCAATGCCTGTCAAGCTGTAACAGCGGCTGAAGCCGGGTACTCCACACATTGCTTCTGATGTGTGGACGCTGGTCAGAAAGAGTGCAGTTATCTGCAAGACAAAGGCATCTACTGCAGCCCCTGCTCTTCCAGCAGCCCCTGGTCTCGGTGCCTCCACCAGCCCCATCAGGACCTACACGTCTCCAGCAGCCTTTGCACTGGGCCAGGTGCAGTGTCCAAGGGAGAAGGGTGGCAGTCACTAAAGGAGATGCCAGGAGTTAAGGATGAGAGTTTTTCTTGGCCGTTCATGAGCTGGAAAGGATCAAATGATAAAGTGCTTCTCTTGTGAAAAGTAACTGGACAGAAATGGCGCTTCCTTGCTCACGGGATACTCCCCATGTGTATTCTGTATTTACTATCATCAGTACAGAGCTCTTGGGACAGAATGGCTTGGGGGGGGTGTGGGGTGTGTGTGAAGAAGGCAGCTTTTATTTTACTGTGTGATCCGTGGCTTTAGGAAGCAATTGCAGGTACGGATCTGCCTGGTTCTCTGTCACCAAAGGGAGAGCTCGGGGCTGAGCGTCTCCAAGGTGGAAATGATGCTGAGCCTGTGCTGCGGTGCTAACACAAGCAGTGGGAGCTCAGCTGCCCCCCATGTCCCAGCTGCAGAGCTGGCAGGCAGGGAGGGGATCTTCTTACTTGTAAATCGAGAGACACTGGAAGTCCAAGGGGGACAATAAACAAGGCCTGCCCAGGGCCATGGGCTGGTGTGAGCAGGGCTGGAGCTGAACCCGCTGCACCTCCAAAGAGTGAGGCCAATGAGCGGGTGCCCGCTCAGGTCATCACTGCACCGGGTGCAGGGGCTGGTGCCAGCCAGAGCACGCTTGTTCTGGGGGGGTCTTTGCTCAATAGAGATGTCCCCAGCCCCGGCTCTGCAGCCTCTCCAGTGAGAGGGTTTCTTTCTGCTTGGGAGGAGGTCACAGCCTCTGAAATGCATCACAGCCCCACCAAGCAGTGACCTACAGAGAGGGGGGGCATGCACCGCTCTGCACCTCCTGTTCCGGGACGTGGAAATGGGTTAAAGCAAAAGGGGGTTTTGTGGCTCAAGGAACCAGTTTGGTGGCAGGAGATGCTCGTGCCACGTGGAACAAAAAGGCCGCCTTAGCCAAACCTGGCTTGTCTGTGTCCCACTGGTGACGTGGATGCTTGTGGAAGCACCATCTAGTCCAGCTGGTGTGATGCTGAGCAGCTCTGGCCTCTCCTCTTGTGTCCTGCTGGCCAAATGCACAGGGGTTTGGTCTCTTCACACTGACACCTCTTTGCACCCCCCCCCAGCAGATACCTCTGGTGCTAAATGCACTCCTCTAGGAAAAGAATCTGCCTCCAGTCCGGAGCTGCTGGGCTCCATCTGCATACAATGGAATTCCCAGGGGTAAACTCGAAAATCACAGGGTTTGCCCTCATTTTAAATGAGGGTTTGGGCCTTCTTTGTCCTCGCTCCCAGCTGCGCCAACAAACTGTTTGCACACAGCATCTCTTCATCTCCTCTGGTCGTGCTTCTGCTTCCACCTGCCCCAGGTGAGCACCTCCTCTGTTGTGCCCAGGCTCACGGTTTGGTGGCACCCAACGGGGAATGCTCCAAGTGAGGCTCCTCGAGGGAGGCTTTTTCATTCTGGGCTTTACCCTTCTGGAGCAGCGCGATTCCGCTTGTGCTCGATCCCTCCTCCGAAGCCCCTCAGCTCTTATCTCACTGACCAGGTCCTTCACCACCTTTGACCAGATGCTCTTTGCCTCCTGATCTGCTGCTGCTCATCTTTGCCCCAAGCAAGTCGCATATTTCCCATACCAACGGCACCGTTTTGCAAGGGCTCTGTCTGGGGGGGGACTTCCAGGCACGACCTTAGACCCCGAGACGAGTTTTACAGCCCTGGTGTCTGCAGGCTCAGCAGTCGCTGTGCTGAGAGCCATTCAATCCCTGTCACAGCAGCATCGTACTGTGGGGTCAAGCAGATGTCCTCCTGACACTTGGTTATTCACATGCAGCGTTTCGGGTGCCCTTTATAGGCATAGCACTGGGGAAAACCACCCCATAATGCTAGAATGGAGAAACGCAGCACAAAGGCTCCGGAGCAGCCTGGACTCCGCCATAGGAGGGTTTGCTCCCCTTCATTGTACATCAGTGAAGCTGGCTCTTGAGACATGGGTACCACCGTTTCCTCCCTCTGCTTCTGTCCCTGTGTCTTTGCTCACTGAAGGGGCTTGGTTCGTGTCCTCGTGCCAGGAGGCTGCTGCTAGGGGCTGGCAGAGCAGGGACAGAAGCTGGGCAAGAGCAGAAGGGAGCTGGGCAAAGCAGCATGAGATGGGTGTGAGCATCCCTGTTCTGAAGGGGGACAGAGCAGGAGGAGCTGGAGAGGACTGGGACAGTGGGAGGAAAGGCTTCAAGAGGGGAGAACGTGAAGGGAAGGGCACAACAGAAGCAAAGAAAGAGAAACCCCAAGTAGTGCAGGAGAAGAGGCTGGATCCTTGTCCCCACATTGCTGCTGACCTGCTCCATGGGTGCACACCAGGCACAGGTGCTACTTTCCTGTGCTCCTTGATGAGAGGAGGGGTGTTAGTGACAGTCTGGCTACTTAGAAGGAGGATAAATGGGCATTTGTGGTGTCCCTGTCTGCACCAGCTGGGAACCAGCACAGATCTTCCAAGGCAATCCTATGGAAGGACTCCAGGCTGCCCTGCAGCCAAGCCCAGACTCCTGTTGTGAACACAGGAAGCAGAAGAGCAGAGTTGGTGCCCGTGTCCCGGGAATCTCAGAGGATCCTCAGGGACCGCTGGCGATGGTGATTTTCATGGGACAGTTGGCATTTTCCATTGCCTCCTCTGCTGAAGCGGAGCACTGAGAAGAAACCCCACCGAGAGAGGAGTGGAAGGGCTCTCTTAGGTCTCTGATGTCCCCAGTATCAGCAGCATCACATTTTATAGCCACTCACTATTGATAATTGGACAAAAAACCACACAAATGTGCTTTTTCTTGTCAAAATTCCCACTGGAAGCTCCTGCTCCTCTCTCAACGCCTGCCCCCAGCAGCAAAACCCACTTTGCACCCATCTGGTTTTATGCAGTGATGTCCTTCAACATCTGCAGCTCCTGGCATCTCATCTCCATGATGGGTTTAGAGAGGGCCCTTGTCTTCTGTCACTGGGAAAGCTCCAGTCTCTGTTTTGCTCTTGCAAGGTGGGTTTTCCATTGGTGTCTTTTCTAACACCGCTCACACCAAAGGAAAATGAACTCTTCTGATGCTAAAAGGGGAGCAAAGAAGACAGGTTTGGATTGTTTGGGGAAGCAGAAGGCTTCTGTGTCTCTCAATACACTGGTTTTTCCAGTTAAATATCAGCACAATCAATAGTACAGCCTTCTTTCTAGGGTCCCAAGTACCTTTTATTGTAATATGGCTTTTTATATGCAGCCAAGACGAGTTCAATCTAACTTGTACCATCAAAATAACATCCAGCCTTGGCCCGTTCCATCTGTGATGTTAATTCATTCTCAGATGTGGTCGTCCCACCTTGCAAGCCCATCGGTAGGAAGGCCACGGTTCCATTGGTCAGCACATCTGGATGAGAGTGTTGAGCTTCCATCCTGCAAGAGTGACCCCAAACCCCATTGGAAGCGGGGAGGAGGGATCACTCATCTGCAGATATCCAGGCCTCAAGGACCACGGGACAAGGATGCTTCCTGCCTGTCTGCTCTTAGGCAGAGCTGGATGGTCAAATGGAGATGCTCTTAACAAAAGCCCAGGTGCCAGGCACAGTTACAGCTGGAAAAGAGTGTTTGGAGGTCTGTTAGCACAAAAAGAGGCATCTTGGGCAGCCTGTCCCATCCTCCCCCCTTTCCCTCTGTCTGCTGCTCACAAAGAAGTGACCTTTTCACATCTCTTATCTAGAAGCTTCAGTTTAAAGAGCTGCTGACGCCTCTTGGAAGCCACTGAAAAGCTCTCCTGAAACAGCTCTGCTGCTTCCTGCATCCTGGGTTCCTTTCCTCCCTCTTTCTCTTTCAGGGCTTGAGGCATTTACATGAGAAAAGGTTGTTCCTCCACGGCTTCCCTGTGGCTGGAGTCAGGGCCTGGTTGACAGCATCGGCTGCTGCAGCCCAACCACTCAAGTGGCACCTTCTCAAGTGAGCAGTGTAGAAGTGATTGAGGTGAGATGAGATCATGAGATGATGAGATGAGATGAGATGAGATGAGATGAGATGAGATGAGATGAGATGAGATGAGATGAGATGATGAGATGTCCCACAGCAGGACAGACCCTGGGACTGAGGAAGGAGAAGCTGAGGGACAAATATGACATGAACATGATGGAATGACTGTGGATACAGGACAGCCCAGGCTCCTTCATTGCTATCGATAGCCAGTTGATGACACGCAAAAGAAGGCCAACCACAGGCTCACTTTGCTACAAGAGCGCACAGAAAGCCAGGAGAAGTGCCTTATTTTGGGCACTTTTGGGATCCTGGGGAGTCCTGGATCCCATCAGTACATGAAAAGCACTGACACAGAGAAGCAAGCATAGCAGAGGCCACTGAGCTGATCTCAGGAAGCAGGAAAGGACCCATGAAGGGACTTTGATTCCTCTGCAGGTTGTTTGTACCCCTTGGAGCAAGATACTGGGAGCACCAGTGCTGACCACAGGGGAGGAGGAGCTGCTCAGCACAACAGCAGCAGAGCTGTAAGTCAAGCACATTGATTGCTCCATACAGCTATGCACTGGCAGCAGAGCTGAACGCTGTGGTGTACAGGATGTATACCATGGCAATGTAGGCAGCCTGGGGCCAGGATTTCAGTAGCCAAGCTGGAATGATCCAGTAGAAAGAGCCAAGGATTCCAGAGGTTTTCCATCCCAGCTGCCTTTGGTACATTTACTGGCCCAAGTCCAGACAGGTCTCCCCCCCAGCTCTCTATCCAGACTGCAGTTGCATGTTTAAGGATGCGACTACAGCCCGGTCGTGTCATTTGAGGCCTGGCTGGACCCCAGTGATGCCAGGGCACTGGTTCAGCACCCACCCAGAGCTTGTGTCACTGAAAGTGCCTGTGCAAAGCACGGGGATGGAGGCCTCAGGCTGGTTTGCACGCAGTGTACATGGCCGGGCTCAGCTCTGGGCCACCATGGTTGATGTCTTCATGTCCCAGCGCATCCATCCTTTGAGCTCCTGTGCTACCGCACTGGTTGGGGCTCCTGCGGTGACCACGGCTCTCACGTTTCCTCCCGGACTTGTCCTCTTCCTTCTCTTTTTGATCACAGGGGCCGCTTGTGGAGCTGCTCAGAGAGCATGGACCAGGTGAAGCCAGAGCTGAGCACCCAGAGGAGGGGACCGAGGGCCAGCTGCTGGAAGGGAACCCTTGCTGCTGCCGTGGTGGGCAGCGTCACAGCCCTGTACCTGGGGGTCCTGCTGGGTGAGTGAGAACAGCCCCATTCGTTCGTCCAGTTTCTGGGCTCCAGAACCCCAATGGCCTGCACGGCTCAGCCCTCACAGCACAGACCCCAAAGTCTTCTGCTGAGGCCAAAATGCAGTCAGCTCCCCACAGACTCACTTTATCCTCAGTGCCCCGTGCCACCTCTGCTCTTTTCCTCTCCTGCTTCACTGACCTGAACCCCTTCTATGCCAGGATGACCCAGTGGGCGAGGATGTGGATGTCATCCACCCGGGCTTTAGTTGGACACCATTTCCCACGGTGTATTTAAAGATGTGGTGCCTGGGGACGTGGGGTAGTGGTGGACTTGGCAGTGCTGGGTTACGTTAAGACCTTAAAGGTCTTATCCCACCTAAATCATTCCATGATTCTATCCCCTAACCTCCCCCGGTGACTCCCACATTTCCTGTCCCTGCACCTCACTGGAGGAACCTTTTGTAGAATCAGAGAATCATGGAATGGTTGGAAGGGCCCTTAAAGCTCATCCAGCTCCAACCATGGGCAGGGACCCCTTCCACTGGAGCAGCTTGCTCCAAGCCCCTGTGTCCAACCTGGCCTTGAGCACTGCCAGGGATGGGGCATAAACTTTTGTCCCAGGCTTGACCAGAATCCACCATTTTCAAGCTCAGACGGGCTCTCTGCCAGGTTAACCTGGGGGCAACGCAGCCGTGGGGCCCCCCCAGAGCAGGCAACGGGGTCAGGGACACTCAAGCTCCTCCAAGCAGAGAGGGGTTGGTCTGAAGGACACGATGAGAGCCCTGCTCCGAAGCAGGCAGGGAGCAAAGCCGGGTGCTTTGTGCCTGTGCCAGCCCCTTCCCTCTGCGGCAGCCTGGCATCCCGCGGGAGAGACCAGCTTCGAGCACACGGTGGAGCTGGGGGGCATCGCCTTCAACAGCAGCCTGCAGACGGAGAGCTCCGAGTACTACAGGGTGCTGACGCCCGCCCTCGAGAGGCTGGTGAGTGCCTGCGGCCGCGCAGGACGAGGCTTGGCAAGGACGGCGCTGGCTCCCCAGGGCCCCGCTTCCCAGCCGGGGGAAATGGGCTCCGCATGGGCCGGACACAGGCACCGGTGCTGCCGCAGGCGAGAGGAGATGCTTGGGCTGCCCGGAACCCCCCGGGCTCCGTGCCCGGTAACTGCGGGATCACCGCTCTTTGCTTTGCAGTTCCTGTCCAGTTTCGAGGAGTCCCCCTTGGACTGGATGTGCACCGGTTGCACCATCCTGGGCTACAGGTGAGTGGAGGCAGCTCCCTGCAGGCTGGCAGCGCACCCCAAAGGTGAGCTCGCATCCGTGTCCGCATCCAAACCCAGGGCAGATTCAAACCGTTTCCTGGGCAAGGCCGGGTTTCCCAGGCTCCCACCAACGTGCTGGGCTCTGCCCTTTGGAAAGGCAGGCAGAGGGAAACAGCTTTGTCCAGCCAAAGCTGAGCTTTGGGCCATAGAGAACATTGCAAGCGACCGTTTCAACCCGGAGAAACTCGCACCTTGACTTACTCAGAACCAGTTTTACTCCCCCCCGGGTTCCCTGCCCCTTGCCCTGGCCACGGAGCCAAGGTTCCCCTTGGTTCTCCCAGCAGGAACGGGAACTCCTCGTCCGTGATCGTCCGATTCCGCCTCCGCTTCGCTCCCCACGATTCGCATCCCCTGAGCTCCACCGTGGAGGAGGAAGCCCTGCGGCGGGGGCTGGCGGCCGCGCTGCACAAGCAGGTGCTCTCCCTGGATGCCTATGGGACCATCTCCTCGGCTTCTCTCACAGGTAGGGGCAGAGCAAGGCCAGCCCCGGGGGCACAACCACGGCTCAGGCACTCAAGCTCTGGGTGTGCAGCTGAGGCTGCTGCCCTGCAGCGATGTCAGAGATGGAGGCACCAAGCAGTCCCATGGAAGATGCTCTGCCTGCCCCCAGGTGCCCCCAGCCCCACAGCACAGCAGCAGAAACCAGTCTGGGTCTTGGTAGCTCTGGGCAGTCCCTCGGTCCCCTCCAACACGGATGTGCTCCTGCAAGAGCAGCTTTGGGCGCCTTCAGAGCCTGAAGCATAAACTGCAGCTGCTTCGGGTTTTCTCTGGCACCTGGGAAGAGGCGGGGGGATAAAAGCTGGAGCTGCAGGGGGCTGATTGCTGCCTTGCCTGCACCAGCCCTGGGAGCTGCAGCAGGCGCTCCTGCTCACGTGGATGCTCCTCATGCTTGCATTACCCTCTGGAGCCACCTGAATGGAAACCCCTTCCCTTCAGTGACCGGAGCTTACGGGGCTGCAGCCCCGCAGGTTCAACCCTCCACGTGCCCGAAGACACGGGGCTGTGGGCTCCCCGCGCCCCCCGCGCCCCCTGCGCCCCCTGCGCCCCCTGCGCCCCCTGCACCCCCTGCACCGAGCGAGCGGGTGCCCCATGTGGGACCCCCGGCAGCCCGCGTGGAGCGGGCAGGGGCAGCGCCTGCACAGGGTCGGCTTCGGAGCTTCCCTCAGCCCCGTTCCTTCCACTTTGCCACAGGTCCCAGTGAGGTTTCTCCCCGCAGACCCGCACTGAGATCAGGTAAGAGCCGGCAGAGAAGCCGCTGCCTTGGTTGAGCTCCGCAGCCTCAGCTCCCGCCTGCCCCTGCTGCCGGGCTGCGGGTACAGCCGGGGCTTGTGCCCCATCCTGTTCAAGGGGAGAGGAGAGGGCTCCTGAAGGGGAGACCTGAGAGCAGCTCCAGTGCCTAAAGGGGCTGCAGGAAACCTGGAGAGGGGCTTGGGACAAGGGCCTGTAGGGACAGGCCAAGGGGAACGGCTTGAACCTGCCCGAGGGGAGACTGAGCTGAGCTCTTAGGCAGAAGCTCTTCCCTGTGAGGGTGCTGAGGCGCTGGCACAGGGTGCCCAGAGAAGCTGTGGCTGCCCCATCCCTGGCAGTGCTCAAGACCAGGTTGGACACAGGGGCTTGGAGCAAGCTGCTCCAGTGGAAGGGGTCCCAGGGGTCCAGTGGAAGGGGTTGGAGCTGGTTGGGCAGAGCAGGGCTCCTGGGCATGGGCCATTACCCACTGCTGCAGACCTTGGCAGCTGAAGCTCCATTGAGCTTGTGTCACTGAAGAGAGCCAAGGGCTTAGCACAGCTTGTGAGGCCAATGGTGATGCCTGCATCAGGATGAGGGCAGCTACAGCTTAGAGACACCTTGGTGTCCCCCCCAACTGCAAAGGGTCAGGACAAAGCCCCCTTTGGTGGTTTGAGGCAATGCTGGGTGAGCACCACCTGCCCATGAGCTGCTGGGAGCACATCACAAGGCAAAGCTGAGCCTGGGGATCAAGGGGGCTCTCTGCAGACCTTCCTGCTCTAGAAGAAATCAGGGAGGATGCTGTGATGGGCCAGGGCTCTGCACCTGCTTTCTCCAAGCCTGCAGTTAATGTGTGCAACCCCTGTGCCATCTGTGTGCCATCTCTGTGCCATTCCTGTGATATCCCTGTCCTGTCCCAGTGCCATTCCTGTGCCATTCCTGTGCTATCCCTGTGCCGTCCCTGTGCCGTCCCTTTGCCGTCCCTGTGCCATTCCTGTGATATCCCTGTCCCGTCCCTGTGCCATCCCTTTGATATCCCAGCACCATCCCTGTGCCATCCCTTTGACATCCGAGCGCCATCCCTGTGCCACCCCTGTGCCCATCCATGTGCTGGGTGCATGCCCACAAGTGAAGCTGGTTTCCCCTTGGTCCCGAGGGTGCTTTGCCGGGTGCAGCATCCCAAGGCACCGGCTCTCCCCTGCCTTGCAGACTGCGGGAGCCGTCCGGCCATGCAGACTGCGGGCAGGATCGTGGGGGGCTCGGAGGCATCCAGAGGGGAGTTCCCGTGGCAAGTGAGCCTGCGAGAGAACAACGAGCACTTCTGCGGGGCCGCCATCCTCTCCGAGAAGTGGCTGGTGTCGGCTGCGCACTGCTTCACTGAGTAAGCCCCGCATCCCCACAGCGGGGCTGTGCCCCAACTCCTGTTGCACCCCTGTTCCCTTCCCCTGCCCGATGACGCCGTGGGGAGCTGCAGTCCCAGCAGGCAGGCTCAGCGCCCTGCCCGTCCCCCTCCTGCAGGTTTCAGGACCCAGCCATGTGGGCAGCTTACACCGGGACCACGTCGCTCAGGGGCTCGGAGGGCGGCGCGGTGAAGATGGGCATCGCACGGATCATCCCGCACCCCTCCTACAACACTGACACGGCCGACTACGACGTGGCCGTGCTGGAGCTGAAGAGACCCGTGAGCTTCACCAAGTACATCCAGCCCGTGTGCCTGCCCGAGGCCCGGCACCACTTCCCCACCAGCAAGAAGTGCCTCATCTCTGGCTGGGGCTACCTCAGGGAGGATTTCTGTGAGCAAAGTGGTGCTGGTGGGGTGGGAGCAGGGCAAGAGGCACCAGGGAAGGGGACTCGGGGCCGTGGTGCTGGGCTGGGACAGGGTCTCCCTGCCCTGAGCTCATGGTTGCATCCTTCTCGTGCAGTGGTGAAGCCTGAATACCTGCAGAAAGCAACGGTGGAGCTGCTGGACCAGACGCTGTGCTCCAGCCTCTACAGCCATGCCCTCACCGACAGGATGCTGTGTGCTGGCTACCTGGAGGGCAAGATAGACTCCTGCCAGGTATGCTTTGCCAGGGAAGCCAGAGACCCCACAAGAGTCTTTTCCCTCCCAGTACGCACCAAGTAGCACTTCAAGGAGCAGGATCTGCCAGAAGTGGTTACCCTAGGATTTATGGAGGGCATCCTTGTGTTCTGGCATCTCAAGGGCACAAGGCTTAATAGCCAAAGGCCAGCACAGGAGATGCTTGAGCACCGGTGGGTTGGGGGGAATAGGCAGAGGTGAGCTGGGGCACGCAGAGGTACCGAGCATCCCCCGGAAGGGCTCACCCTCTGCCTTCTCTTGCAGGGTGACTCTGGTGGGCCCCTGGTTTGCCAGGAACCATCTGGCAAGTTCTTCCTGGCGGGAATCGTGAGCTGGGGCATTGGATGCGCGGAAGCCAGGCGGCCCGGGGTGTACACCCGGGTCACCAAGCTCCGAGACTGGATCTTGGATGCTATCTCCGAGTCCCCCCCCTCCATCGCCCGCACCCTCCCCCTAACCCACTCCAGCACCAACAGTAACGCAGCCAGCCCCGAAGAGCTCAACTCCACCATGAGCAGAGCCATCCCCACCGCTTCCGCAGCCCCAGCCGCCAGCAAGGCGGTGACTGCACCGAGAGCACAAGGTACCAGCACCCAGCCTGGGGCCGGTCAGCTCCTAGCGTCAGGACTGCTCCGCTGCTGAGCTGAGCTCTGCCCTGGGAGGGTGCTGAGGCGCTGGCACAGGGTGCCCAGAGAAGCTGTGGCTGCCCCATCCCTGGCAGTGCTCAAGGCCAGGTTGGACACAGGGGCTTGGAGCAAGCTGCTCCAGTGGAAGGGGTCCCTGCCATGGAGCTGGAGGGGCTTTAAGGTCCCTTCCAGCACAAACCAGGCCGGGATTCCATGATTCTATGGCTGTGCACAGCCACCCGCAGGCAGGACTTGGGCTGCCCTGTCCCTGCTCAGACTTAACTGCTTTGGGACACCAAAAGCCTCGTTGTCTCCTGCAGGGAGCACTCACGTCATTGCTTTGCCTTGTGTTCAGAGTGTGGGCAGCGCCCCGGGTTCTCCAAACCCATCAGGATTGTCGGAGGGACCGATGCTGCCACAGGAGAGGTGCCCTGGCAAGTCAGCCTGAAAGAGGACTCGAGGCACTTCTGTGGAGCCACCGTCATAGGGGACCGCTGGCTGCTCTCAGCAGCTCACTGCTTCAATGAGTAAGAGCCCATCCCTAGGGAAAGGGGTTGGGATGAGGCAGAGAAAGGTTAAAGTAGCCTGGGCAGGGAGCAAGAACTACACATCTAATGGGTGGAAAGGAGCCACAAGAACGAGAGTTTCCCCAAAACTGGCTGTTATAATATGGAAGAGAGGGAAGATGGCCAGTTTGCTGCATAGCAAGAGCCCAAATTGATAGCCTAGACAAAGAAATGTGGAGCAAGAGGATAATGCTTGGCACAAAACGTGGGGGACAAGCTATGAAGTGTTTCGAGATGATCTTATGCTTTAAATAGCCTGGCAATAAGGCAGCAAGGGAAAAGCAAGGCTGGCAAGTGTGAAGTGAGGCACATAACAGGAAAGCAAGGCTTTTGGTGATTATGGGTCTCCATCAGCTTTACCAGTGCAAACAGGTCAGAAATACTGTGGGTATTGCCACAGGAACAGCAATTCTGTGGGCAGCGGCCATCAGAGAGCAAGGGGATGCTATAAATCATTAGAGGAACAACTGAGGGCACCAGTACACTGCTGGTAAGCCAGCACGTACCCACTTCCCAGACATTTCATGCAGCACTGGGATAACACTGGGAAAAGGCTAACACAGGGCACAGGGATGAGCTGGGTGCAGCACCCACAGGCATGATGAAGTAAACCAGCCTGGGCTTGGGGAAGGAGACAACAGGGACCATACAATTCACAGAGGTACCAAGTGTCTGGGGAATAGAGCGTTCACCGGCTCTTCAGGAGCCACCCGATGTGCGTGGCACTGGGAGCAGCTCTTCGGGCCTGGCTTAGCCCAGCTGAGGGCTCAAACGCTGTCACCCGGAGCTGCCTGCAGTCCCAGTGCCAGGATCGCTGCCGGGCACACACGTGGGGGGGTTTGAGTGCTCAGAATTCCACATTTACAGGACGAATGCAGAGGAGATCGAAGCCCACGCGGGGACGACATCGCTCAATGGAACAGATGGAGGCGCGGTGAAAGTCAACGTCTCCAGAGTGATCCCACATCCCCTCTTCAACCCCATCTTGCTGGACTTCGACGTGGCTGTCCTCGAGCTGGCAAGGCCTCTTGTCTTCAGCAAGCACATCCAGCCCCTGTGCCTGCCGCTCGCTGCGCAGGAGTTTGCTGCTGGCCAGCAGTGCCTCATCTCTGGATGGGGCAGCCTCCAGGAAGGGAACGGTGAGCAGGGCTCCGTCCCCAGCCGATCCACCGGGGAGCGGTGACAGCCTCAGCAGCAATGCAGAGGCCACCAGGACAGGGGACAGGAACAGGGGCACAAGGATAAGGGCACACAGAGCACTGCCTTAGCCCGCAGTTATGCAGCAGCCAGCAGCAAAGACAACAGAGAGAGGAGCACGGCAGGGACCAGGCTGGGCTCCTCTCAGCAGTTCAGTGAGTGGGGCACTGCCTTAGGGCCCTGCTGTAGCTGTCAGGACCCTGTGCCCTCCTCAGCACCCACACTCCGTTGTAAAGATGCTCCAAGCAATCAGAAAAAGCAAAGACCCCATTGTAGGAGGAGGGTTCAGCACGTGAGCTACCAAAGAAGCCCGAGTGTCCCTCCAACAGGTAACCGGGAGCCCACAAGCTGTCGAGACAATAGAAACATGCTGCCTGTGTGCAGTATCCTTTGCTCAGGTAGGAAAGTGCATCCTGGTGCCGCCGCAAGCTGGGAAGCAGGAGCATCAGGATGCTGGGGAGGGACTCTTCGTTAGGGACTGTGGAGACAGGACAAGGGGTAATGGGTTCAAACTGAAACAGAGGAAGTCTAGATTGGATATAAGGAGGAAATTCTTTCCTGTGAGGGTGGTGAGGCACTGGAATGGGTTGCCCAGGGAGGTTGTGAATGCTCCATCCATGGCAGTGTTCAAGGCCAGGTTGTATGAAACCTTGGGTGCTATGGTTTAGAGCGAGGTGTCCCTGCCCATGGCAGGGGGGTTGGAACTGGATGATCTTAAGGTCCTTTCCAACCCAAACTATTCTATGGTTCTATGATTCTGAGTGCTGAGAGCTGATGTAGGATTGATGGGATGTAGGATTGATGTAGCTGATGGGCTTAGAGCCCGTTTTCCTCAAATCCGAGCTGGATCAGTTTAAAAGCCATGAGTTCCCTCTGCTCCACTCTAATGCTGTGGTTTCCGTGCAGCCACCAACCCCGAGGTCCTGCAGAGAGCCTCTGTGGGCATCATAGACCAGAAAACCTGTGACTTCCTCTACAACTTCTCCCTCACTGAGCGAATGATCTGTGCTGGCTTCCTGGAGGGGAACGTAGACTCGTGCCAGGTAAGAGGCTGGGATTTGTCTCTACTCTTCCACGGCTGGTTCCAGAAAGCTGGGCTAACTCCCAGCCTCAGCACGACCTGGGCAAGTATTAACTGAGGTGCTGTAATCCACACATCCCTTAGCTCAAAGCGCCCAGCCCATGGCCTTGGAGCTTTAGAAGGGTAAATAAAGGCCCCTCAAGCTGAGCAACAACCTCTCACCATGCGGTGAGGCCATGCTGCATGAAGCACATCCCTGTGGCAGCGGGGCACTGGTGGCTGGTGGTGCCCGTCCTGCACGGGTGGGAAGGTGCTGTCAGGATGTCCCTGCACCCATGCAGCCACCGACCCCACATCCATCGCACCCACGCTGCAGACCTGCAGGGCTGGAGAAGGAGGGGTCAGCCAAGTCCTCCCGGTGCGGCTGAGCAGCAGCTCCCACACAGACCTGTCCGGGGGAGGTCAGGCTGAGCAGCCATTGCCCTGCTGCTTCTTCCCCAGGGCGATTCCGGAGGACCCTTGGCCTGCGAGGTGACCCCAGGCACGTTTTACCTGGCTGGCATCGTGAGCTGGGGCATCGGCTGCGCCCAGGCTATGAAACCTGGGGTGTACTCCAGAGTTACCACGCTCCAGGACTGGATCCTGGGCACCATCTCACAGTCGCCCAGTCCTGGCCCAGGCAGCCCTTCCAGTCCAGCTCCTGCAGCCGTTCTCACTGGCCAGCCCAGCCCAGCGCCTGCAGGTGCAGAGAACAGAACCACACTGGCGATGAGAACAACCACAACCATGGAAGAAACCTCCCCAGCGCTGGAAACCAGTGAGGCTGCCAAGCCCACCCACAGCCCAGGTAAACCTGATTCATTGCCGTGTTGGGACGAGACCTCCAGCCCCAGCACAGAGGGTAACTGAGCAGGGTATGGGTTATTGCCTTCCAGTGGTGCCTTGTACCAGCCTCACCTTCAAGTGCTCCAGCAAGGTGTGTATTGGAAAAGAGAACCCTGAATGTGATGGCATCGTGGACTGCAGCAACGGCTTCGATGAGCGCAACTGCGGTGAGCACCACAACTGCTGCCCAGCCTCATTTTACACTGCCCAACTCACCCGCTCCACACAGGTCTCGGGCCCCATGTTTTACGCTGGGTACCTGCCCCAGCCCCTTCTTGCTCTGCCAGAGCCTATAAAGAGATGAAGATGGATGAGCAGAGATCAAATTCTATGCCAGAAAACGTGGCGTCTTCCCCTGTGTTAGAACCATCAGACCCATTCCCCAGCACTCAGGTCTTCCAGCCAGTAAGGACAAGCTGGCAAGACCGCTCTGCTCAGTGTGGCAGTCCAGAAGATGCCCTGTCATCCCCAGGACTGGTCCTTGTGATACCATGTAGGAGTTCCCATGTCTGCCAAGCCTTCCCTCACATGGGTGCCCTATGGATGTCTGCCCCGGAGGCTGCCCCATGGCACGGGGCATGGAAGGAGGGTAGCTATCCCCTTCACTGCCTGCTGTTTAAAGCCACAGCACCTCTTCCTCTGCCCCAGACTGCGGCTCCACAACTGCTCTGGCCTTCAGCAAGATCGTGGGCGGCAGCACCGCGGCGCGAGGAGAATGGCCCTGGCAAGTGAGCCTCTGGCTGCGGCGCAAGGAGCACAAGTGCGGGGCTGTGCTCATTGCCGACCGGTGGCTGCTCTCTGCAGCCCACTGCTTCGATATGTAAGTCCAAGACGGGCTGGGGAAGCCAGATCCCATAAACCCTGCTGCCCGCCCCGTTCCCTGCATCCAGCACCGTGGCTGCGATGCTGCGCCCCACTGGAAGCGCACACTATTGCAGATGGGCCTCTGGGGGTAAGCGTGAAGAGGAAGGAATCAGAAACCCACAGAATGGTTTGGGTTGAAGGGACCTTAAAGCTCCTCCAACTCCAACCCCTGCCACGGGCAGGGACCCCTTCCACTGGAGGAGGGTGCTCCAAGCCCCTGTGTCCAACCTGGCCTTGAGCACTGCCAGGCACAGCGCAGCCCAGCCCCACAAGTGGAGGAACAGCCCTCCTTGTGAGGCCGCGCTCCTAACAGCCAGGTTTGCTGTCTTTCCGCAGTTACAGTGACCCCAAAATGTGGGTGGCCTTTCTAGGAACCCCCCTCCTGGATGGCGTTGATGGCAAAATGGAGAAAATCTTCCGCATCTACAAGCACCCTTTCTACAACGTCTTCAGCCTGGACTACGACGTGGCCCTGCTAGAGCTGAGCGCGCCCGTCGGGTTCAGCAGCACCATCAAACCCATCTGCCTCCCGCACAGCTCCCACGTCTTCCATGAAGGAGCCAGATGCTTCATCACAGGCTGGGGCTCCACGGAGGAAGGAGGTACTGGTTGAGGAGGTTCCCTCACATCCATGCTACCCTGTGAGCCCAAATGTCCCCATTCCCACTCCAGTGTCCCAAGCTCTCCCCCACCAAGGGATACCAACCTTGGTGTCACCCCGATTTCACAGTATCACAGTATGTTAGAGATTGGAAGGGACCTCAAAAGCTCATCCAGTCCAATCCCCCTGCTGGAGCAGGAACACCTAAATAAGGTTACACAGGAACGTGTCCAGGCGGGTTTTGAATGTCTCCACAGAAGGAGATTCCACAACCTCCCTGGGCAGCCTGGTCCAGTGTTCCGTCACCCTCACTGAGAAGAAGTTTCTTCTCAAGTTTAAGTGGCACCTCTTGTGTTCCAGTTTGTACCCATTGCCCCTTGTCCTATCATTGTTTGCCCCTGAGAAGAGCCTGGCTCCATCCTCGTGACGCTCCCCCTTTATATATATATATACACTAATTTCCTCCCCATGTGTACTCCTCCGCCCTCCTGCAGCCTTCCCAAGCTTTCTACACCCCAGCCACAGCGCTCCCCATCCCAGCCGCAGCGGCTCCTGCAGTACAAGACCCACCCCGGTACCATTTCTATCTGGTCAATGAGCTGCCGGACAAACTGCACACCCAAGGGACCTTCCAGTGCTTGCTCTGCTGGGAAGGATGAGGCCCCATTCACTTCCCCTCTTAGGTCTCTCCCCTTGGCAAGCAAGCACGGCTGCAGAGCCCCCCCTCCACGTCCTCCTCACCCGCTCTGCACCAAGCTAAGAGCTCCGTTTGCCTCCTGCAGGTCTCATGGCAAAGCACCTGCAGAAAGCAGCAGTGAATGTGATAGGAGACCAGGCCTGCAAGAAGTTCTACCCGGTGCAGATCAGCAGCAGGATGCTGTGCGCTGGCTTCCCGCAGGGCTCTGTTGACAGCTGCTCGGTGAGTGCCAGCACAGCAGACAGAGCAAAGCCCGACCCCAGGCTGCATTCCCTGAGGATATATGAATGTATGAACTCCCTGAGGAGAGCCATGCCCTGCCTCCCCCTGCTCACCTCTGTCCATCCATCCCCACCGGCCCTCGCAGTCACCCAGCTCCCTCATTCTGCCTGTCCCACCAACCCAGGACAGGTCAGGGAATGAGGCACAGAGGCAATGCCAAGCAAGAGACCACAGGACCACCACGGAGCCCACTTCATGGCCTTCTCTGTGCCTCCCAGCACTCTCCCATGTCCCAAACCCTAACCTCACGCAAGCACATCACTGAGGAGCCCTCCAGCTTGGAAGCCGGCTCCGGGGGAGGTGGGGAACAGGACAGCGAACACTCCTGTGTTCCAGGGAAGGGGAACAGCCCAGATGGGGAGGGCTGGGCTGCAGCTCTGGCTTGATCCAGGTCCCTTCTCTTTCTGCAGGGCGATGCGGGCGGGCCCCTGGCTTGTAAAGAACCCTCAGGGAAGTGGTTTCTAGCAGGAATCACCAGCTGGGGCTATGGCTGCGCCAGGCCCTACTTCCCTGGGGTCTACACCAAAGTCACGGCTGTGCAGGGCTGGATCGCGCAGAACCTCAAGCTCTGAAGCTGCGTTTCACCACTCAGGGAAGAGGACAAAGGAGAAGTCACTGTCAGAGATGCACTAACCCCCCCCAAGTACACTTGTTCTGTTGCTGCAAAGGAGTGATGGTGGCCAAGCAAATGCCAGGGTTGTGTGACCCACAGTGACCGTGACACCAGGGCATTTGATAAGTGCTTTGCATAGAAAGGTACAATTCTAGACGTCGTCTATAAATAAAGGAGGCCTGTCCATCTTCAGACCTGGCCAAATATCCCATGCATTAAAACGTGCCCTTTCTAGCGGGAGGGGTCACTGAAACGTCTTCTGCCTCAGAGCTCATCTCTGTCTCCCCTCGGGCAGGTTAAGGCCATTCCCCTTGGCCTGTCCCTACAGGCCCGTGCCCAAAGCCCCTCTCCAGCTTTCTTCTAGGCCCCCTTTAGGTACCAGAAGGCTGCTACATCTCCATCTACCTTCTACCTCTCCTCATAGATCCAACCACCAAAACTGAACAGCAGCTTCTATCCCAAACCCATTTCTATTCTTTAGCACTTAAACTCTGCATCTAGGTATAGCAAGAGGTTTCTTCTTTCCCAACCCAAACCCACCACTTCCCCAGCTAGAACAGTAGCACAGTGGCACCCCTGGCTTCCAGGCATGGCTCTGCTCAAGATGGGTTCCAACCCATGGCTCGAACACCGTGGGATGCTCTGATCAATGACACAGGACTGCTGTACAGGCGGTACCACGAAACTCATGCAGCCAGGAAGTAACAAGGCCTCTAAGCAAACCTGGCTGGAAAGCACACCCAGACTGGATGGGCACCTCCAGGTTCAATTAACCCAAATACCCACTTCTCCCCTAACGGTTCACCTTGTGTCAGAACGCTTTAGTCCCTTCATAGAAGCCACCAACCACAGTGACCCACATCCTGCTGCAGGAGCGCTTCTCCCTCAGAAACCCAAGAGCTTTACCTAAGAGGCAGGCTCCAAGATGGAACCTTCTGTGCCAGAGGCAAACCAGAGGTTACAAAACATCACAGCCACACAACAGGTTTTATTGTAGAATGAACTCAACCCAAGGACTTCCCAGCCCTTCCCATCCCCAGCTGTGCTTGTACAAGTATTGGCAAGGCTGTGCTGCAAACCTAAGAGCTCCCCAACACACTGCTTGAGCTGAGTCGAAGCCCAGAAGTGAGCCCCCAGCCTGCTATCTAAATACAAGGGAAGAAAGAGTCAAGCGTGGCAGCTGATGGGAAGGGCCTGGGTTAACCGTGTGGTGGCTGGGTCCATGCTTGCTTCCTGGGCAAGGGCTTGGTGCTCCTTGCCTCTCGCAGCCCTTCCAGCAGGGATTTATCCACTGCTCCATGGCCAGTCTGGAGCCAAGCAGCTCGCGGTGGTTCTCGAGGCTGGAAAAGTCCCTCGCTCCTGGGGCTGGTTGCTAACAAAAGCCAATGGATGCAGAAGGCTCAGGGAGGGTTTATTGCTCTGCCAGGGTCGGGGCTTGGAAAGGCAGCGGGATTGCACCCCCAGCGCCTGGCCTGGCCACTCGTCCCGTGCCCACATGGTCCTGAGCCCTCATGGTCCTTCCCTGCTGCGGGAGCGGCGGCTCCTCACATGTTGGCTCTCTCCCGCTGCAGCCGAGAGTTGTAGGCTCGGGAAACCGTGTTCCAGGCGTCCATGTACCGGTCCATGCACATGGCGATGCACTTCTGCGGGACGCGGGGCCCTCAGCGCCTGCCCCCGGGGCTCGGCCCCGCGGCTCCCGGTTCCTTCCCCCCACCTCGGCCACCATCGCGCTCACCTGCTCCGAATTGTCCAGGGCCCCGCCGGGCTTCCCGATGCACTTCCGAAAGCACTTGTCCGTCATGCGCTGCGGAGAGAGGGCGTGAGGGGCCGGGGGAGAGCCGGGACGGCGCCGGGGAGAACCGGAGGAAGAACCGGGACGGGGCCGGGGGAGAACCGGGACAGGGGCCGGGGGGAGAACCGGAGGAAGAACCGGGACGGGGCCGGGGGAGAACCGGGACAGGGGCCGGGGAGAGAACCGGAGGAAGAACCGGGACGGGGCCGGGGGAGAACCGGGACAAGGGTCAGGGGGAGAACCGGGGGAAGAACCAGGACAGGGGCCGCGGGCCCCGGCCGATCCCAACCGGATGGCGCCGGCAGCACCGACCGCGATCGCGTTCTCCCTCCTCGCCCCGCACCAACCCCCGGGCCCCAGGGGACACCCTCCCTGCCCGCCACAGAGCAGCGCCGGGCCCGCGGCTCCTCCTGACCTGCAAGAGCTCCTGAGCGTTGGCCACGGCGATTTGCACCTTCACCTGCTCCATGATGAGCCCCGGGTCCAGCTTCCCCCCCCCGCCGCCAGCCCCGGAGCTGAAGTCGGAGCCGAAGTCGGAGCCGAAGCCGCTCTCCATGGCGCGGGGTCGGCGCGGCCCGCACGCTGCCGGCGAAATGGCGGCGCGGAGGGACTACGGCTCCCGCCGTGCACCGCGAGCACCGCGGCCGCCCCCGTCTCCCTCCGCCGAGCGGGGCCGAGCCCAGCGCGGGTGAAGCGGCTCCGGGGCAGCTTTGGTGCCGGAGGTGAGGTCCTAGGGGTGGGAACGGAGCCGCGGTGCTGGGGACGGGGAGGGTTCGGGGCTTGAACCCTCACAGGAGCGCGGCCCGCGCTGATTCCACGCCGTGAGAACGCGGAGGGACTGGGTAGAATTAAATGGGATGTGAGGAAAGGAGATGGCTGTGAGAGGATGAGCTAGGCTAAAGCCGGAACCGCACTCATCTTCAGCTGGAGCCCATTGTGAAGAACATTGTCCATCCCTGCACCAGCCATAGAGCAGGGGGTGGGTTGGGGTGGAAAGGACCTTAAAGCTCCTCCAGCTCCAACCCCTTCCACTGGAGCAGCTTGCTCCAAGCCCCTGTGTCCAACCTGGCCTTGAGCACTGCCAGGGATGGGGCAGCCACAGCTTCTCTGGGCACCCTGTGCCAGCGCCTCAGCACCCTCACAGGGAAGAGCTTCTGCCTAAGAGCTCAGCTCAGTCTCCCCTCGGGCAGGTTCAAGCCATTCCCCTTGGCCTGTCCCTACAGGCCCTTGTCCCAAGCCCCTCTCCAGGTTTCCTGCAGCCCCTTTAGGCACTGGAGCTGCTCTAAGGTGCAGGGTTCCGATCTCCTTTAGGAGTGCAGATCACCCATTGTCCCATCTCCCCTGGGAGGAATAATTTCCAACAGCCAATATAGGCTTTGCATTGACTGAATGAAAGAAGGAAGCCAATAAAATGCAAAACATTTATTTGAGTGTGTTGTACAAAAAGGTTCCAGTCATAAAATGTATATTACAAATCATTGAAAAAAGACAAGACTTTTGGCATGCATATTCTAAAAAAGAAAAAATAAAACCACTCTGAAATGATAAAGTCTAGATCATTCTGTAGCTTTCGTAAGTTCCACATGAACATGCTAATCCTGTTGTAATTCAATTTGCAACCATGTTCACAACTCCTCTTTTTAACAACTTGAACCTTCCAAACCCTCTTCTGCAGCAGCTGACCCAGAAGCCAGTGAAGCCCAGCCATGACCTAGAACAACAGCCATCTAAACAGAGATTGTGTTTAAAAACGTGGAAAAAGGATAAAAAGCAATAAATCACAATTCAAGTCACAAGGCATCGCTGTTGAACTGTAGTTTGTGCTCAGATGGGTAGCGTTCTGGCTTAAACTCACTTCAAGTAGCTTACTGCTTCTCAATTTGAGTGTAGTGATTCTGGAATACACAATCACTTCTACCTCTGATCAACATGGAATAGTCACTATGAACAAAGCAGGAAGTCTGGAAGTTCAAACCCGTTTTGGAAGTTCAGACTGAACTCCAAGTCCATTCATTGTTTCCAAGTCTCTGAGTATTAAGCATCCTTTTCACTCTCTAGACCTTAGCATTTCAAGAAAGGCATTACGTTTACAAATAATAATTGCATGTAAATATGGTCTTGTATAAAAAAACCACCACTTTTAAATTATTTTAAATCGGTTTAAAGCGAAGCATATTGAAGGGCAAATAAAATTCTGTTTCCCAGGCCATTGTAAGGGAGAAAATAAACTCTCCAACAGAATTTGTCTAAAAAACAATGCTTTGAACCAAATGCAATCATCATCTCACCTTCCACTCACTGGTTTACAACACGGCTTTGTTTCCTGCACACACAGGGGTTGGACCCAACAGTGGCAATGAAATCCAGTATCAAATATGGATATGCCTTTGTTTAGAGATAAGACTTTCAAAGGAAGATACAAACAGAAGGGACAGAATGGCTTAATAGTGAGGAAGTGGCTACAGGAGAGAGAAAACACACAGCATCAAAACCTTTCACACCAAAGGAACGTTCTCAAATGTTCTGGGGTGTAGAGAGGTCTTCTACAAGCTTCTTCTATATCCTCTGTTCAGGTTGCAGTTAAAGGGCCTTTATACAGGAGAAGCATAAAAAGAAAAGAGGGTGTATAAAAACCCCAGTAAAATCCCTGAACTGACCATGAGGTGTCCTGTTGCTCTAGGATAAACGTCATCTCCTTTCACAGTACAGTCTGCTTCACGCTGCAATACAACTGTCATGACCCACGCAAGCTGCAGACAAGCCCATCTGGCTTTGACATTACAGGTCATGGGAAGCAGATGTTTATTTTCTTCCTGAGACTTGGTTCCTGCTACAAACTCTGCCAGCCAATTCCCATCTACTGGCAAAACAGCGCTGCAGATGAGCCATCGATGCATCAGTGTAAACTATTGGCTCTGTCAGGGCAAATCTGGAGTAGCAGCAGCCCAAGTAAACACTGGGAAATGAAGCTACACACAGGAATCACAGCCACATCGTTACTTGGAATTAATCACTGCAACACAACAGGTAAAGTATCATATGGAAGTGAGGGAGAAAGAAGGGAATGTCAGAGGCTCTCCATAACCATCTGCAGGATGTCACGTTCCCAATGGTTCTGCAGAAGGATGAGTTATTCAGACACAAGTGTTGTCATACAGTACCAATTTAGGATTAGGTGGTGTGTGTTTATCATATTTTATATGATCTTATGATCTACATAAGGAAAGGACTGGCTTAACTATTCTGCAGCAGTTCTGCTGTTATTCCTTCCCCCTCTTAACCACTGAGAATTATTTAGGAATCATTTTTACTATTCCACCCAGAATAAAGTTGTTTGCTTATTTTTCTTGGAACAAGCACATCCATAGGGGTAGTTACACTCAAGTAACTAACTACTCTGGTAAAAGCTTTACTGGTTGATGTCCCTTACCAGAGAAGCCTTAAAATACTTTGCCTCCTGACAAGTCAATTCTTTCTCCTTCAAGTTCTGCACCAGGTATCAGACCCTGAAGAAGAAATGCTGACTATGCTCCAACTTCAAGAGTGGTTTACACATAGGATTGAAGAAGTAGGGCAAGGGGGCACTTTCATTATTCTGAAAAAAAAACAAATTCTTGAAAGACAAAAAAGTAATATAAAATAAAAACCAAACCCACAACAAAGCAATGCTTTTTGGTTTGGTAAATCCAAAAAAAACCTCCCAGAATGGAGCACCAGCTCCAAAGGGATAGTGCTGTTATACTGAAGCTCAGCGTTAAAAGCAAGAGGAAAGGATGGCACCCAGAGCAGATGCACACGTAACAAAGGAAGTCCATGGAATACAGTAGTTTTTCTATGTCTTGTAATTTACAGCTTGGAACCATGGATCAGATTTCCAGTAGCCTGCAGACTGTTCCTGAAGGGCACAGTGCCTATCACAAGATCTGCAAGCACCAGTCCTTAAGGCTGCAAGATGACACATTCCCCATACAGTAGCTGTTAAGAAAACTATGGCTCAGGTAGCAAAGAGGTTTTCCCTCATTGAAGCTGCCTTTCCCAGCCCATTCTTTACAGGAGAAAAGAACAAAAATCACAGGAAAAAATACAAATGAACTACATGCTCACTGCGTTAGCATTTAAAGATCACAGAACAGTTTACAGAACAATCTTAAAGCAGAATAAGCAATCTGAAAACTGGCCAATGTAAAAAAAACCCACATAAATACAGCTCTTTAGGGAAAAGAAGAAGAAAAAAAAGAAGGCAAAAAGCCCTCAACCATCATTTAAAGTATGTTCTAGAAGCTGTGGGTCAGAAAGGGAAATGCTGTCCAGTGGTTGGAAGGTGTATTGCAAAAATGCTTTTACATTGATTGCATTCATTTGTCTAACACCAAATTTAGAAAAGGTAATTGATCACAGTATGTCTGAGAAACATAATTCCACTAAATACATTTGACAGAGACGTGATTTACTACATATTTAACCTTCTACTCAAGCAGAGTGGGAAAATTACATTAGAAAACCAGCCAAGTACATCAATGGAGTTATCCCATTAGCCCAAACAGCCAAACTTTCATAGTGCTTTTCTGTAATGGATTCTCTGATAATGGTTTACAATGTAATTGTAAATAGCCATTAATTTCTGGACTTCAGTCATCCCACTCAAATAGAGAAAGTAGCATCTTTGATTTATTTTTAAATGGCAAAATAAATCCATAAGCTTAACCCCCCCCCCCTTTGTTCCCACCCTGCTTGCATTACAAAGCCATCAGTCAAAGCCACTAAACTGACTTTCTAGGTTATATCTGTCAGTCACAATAATGTTCAGAGAACATAATGTCCAAAAGCCACCGAAAACATCCAAACCTTGTAGCTTGTTTGATGAACCTAAACTACTTGAAGGACAAGATCAGAGTTCAAGAATGCAGGTAAAAACAGGAATCTATGCTGGCATCAACTGGTATCCAAATTTGTATCCAAAGCTAGTAACTAGTGGAAAAAACCCCACATTTGCTTGTACAGTAGCAAATACATTCTTTGGAGCAGTCAAGGCCTTTCCAAGTGGTTAAAGATGTGCTACTGTAGGAATACTAACCCTGATAGGAGTCAAGAGTTTGCAGAGAAGTGCAGCAGAAGAAACCTTAATTCAAAGGGACACTGTCAGACACAGAATGCATCATCCTGAACCAAAACCCATCTGCTACTCACGGAAAACATTTATTATAAAAAGCATTATTGTCCCTTCACTTCCTGTTAGACTTTAAGCATTTGAACACCACAAAGCAATGCTAATGTTGTAAGCAGCAGTTCCTCTTAGCTTTTTAAAGAGGTTCTTAAACTATCTCTGTAGTATTCTGCAAATGCTGCTCCTTAAGATATCTGCCAATGCCCCTTTGACTGTAAGTGTGGATAAGCTGCATCCAGACCTGATTAAAAAGAGAACATTTATGCAGGATAACCTTTAAAATCCCTAATATTTATCATTGCCAAAAGTAAAAACATTTTCAACATCTAAAATGGTCATCATTCTGCTTAATGCTGAATATGTCAAAAGTGTTAAATCATGATGCTTCATGTCATAATGACTGCACATCACAACCCGCATCCATGATTTAACAAGGTCTCATTGGTGACAATGTCAAAATCCTCCCAAAACAAAACAGTTAAAACTCTGGGTTTGAGACCTCCACACTTTAAGGTGTAGTGTATATTCAGTAAGCAGAAGCCTTCGTCCTCCATCTCCTGAAA